TGGCGGGGGTTGGATCCGGAAATATGTAGTGTGCCAGACTGTTACCCTACGTGGGCATTGCTGGCCCATGGTCCGCTGCCATGACACTGAGATTTTGACCCCATCTTTTAGTCGCTCCGCACTGGATGAAGAAGTGGGCTTGTCGGAGCGCCTGGAAGGAAGGGCTGACGGCGTTTTCCACGTGAGTTGACTGAGGATAAACCTTGGATGGGTAGTGTCAAGCTTCTATGACGTGGACTCCGAGATAGCCATAGCGAGAGAGAGGGAGAGGATTCCCAGCTATCATATTGCGCCACTTTATATGTTACATGTATGTTACATATGTGTTGCATATGGCAATATTATGCCATATTGAGCCAAGTGATATGCCTCCGGCGAAAGGTGGAATATGGAGCCGTTTCAAAGTCCTATGGGATGATGTGGAGTTGAGGTTGGACCTTTCCGCCAGCATGGTACGAGACAATGGGCAGCCAGTGAAATTCCTCCACATCGTTGCGGCGCCTTGGTTTCACTATGGGATCGGAGGATGATCATATGATAATCATATGATTATCATATGATAATCATATGATAATCATATATGGGACCTAATCTGGGACCAGTCCTGGGATGAGTGTCGTCAACAAAAATCCAGGGACATTTTTTTGGAAATGCCAAGTCGCTGGATGTCTTTTGGTGATCTGAGGTCAAGGCTTCAGAGGTTGAGAAGCCACCTGGCTGTGGCGGTTGGGAGGTTGAGAAGCAGCCATGTGGATTGTGAAAAATGTTGACTTTATGATATAGATATATAGTGATAATATGGAGAATGGTGGATATACCTTACATTGCTTACATTTTTATACGATATTATATATAATATCCCTTTTAAGCTGAAGATGTTGGAAGGTAAAGAGTTAAAACATGTAAATCCAAAGTCAAGTTGGAGATGTCGGATAGTCAAAACATTGTAGATCAAAGACATGCGTTTTCAAAGTTATCAATCCAATAGTTGTTATCTATTTATATCTATATCATTCTATATCTATCTTTTTAACTATAAAAAATAGATAGATCATGTATCCATCTATGTGCTATTTACTGTCCATTATGATGTTAACTATCTATATCTATATATCCATCATGTATCTCTCAAAGCTGTTTAAGGATTGCCATTTGCGTTTTCGCATGTTTTCGCCGTTCGTGATTCCAAGGTATCGCAGCAGTGCCCCGTTCTTCGTGGCTTTGGCGGATTGACTCTGGAATCATGGTGAAACATTGTGAAATTCTGCGAAGATACTTCAACTATTCTGATGTTAGTTGTTCATATGTGTTATCAGATGGTTAGAAACTTTTAGTTCTTCATATGTGATATATGTGTTAGTGAGTTATATAGTTATCAGGCTAATGTGAGAAGACAATAGCAATTGACTTGGCGTAGGAGTTGTTGGCGGAGCCTTTTTGGGTAATGGCCCAAAATCGAAGGTCTGTTCGGGTGTCAAGATATATAGCTTTGGAGGCGAGTTCCAAGTATGGCTTGGTAGTTCCAATATAGTACTTATATAGATATAGATATAGATGTAATGAGGCCAGAATCATGAAATGATATGAAATGTCATAAATGAGTCATAAATGATAGTAGCCTGCAGAAGACCTCACGACTTCCAGGAGCTTTCCGTTCTGAAAAACCCGGCACTGCTTCCGTCTCCCAAGGTGATTATGGAACTGCCAACCAGCGTCACGGTGCGGGATTGGTGGGTCAAGAGTTGAATCAATGTGTTGGAACATCGCGGAAGATGATCCTTAGAACATGTTAGAAATGTTAGAACCCTTGGGTTTTGGAAGATGCTCAAGATGCTCCTGTTTCATCCTGTTTCAAGTTATTAAGTTTGACAATGTTTGACATGAATTGCACAATAGCACAGCATGTTGCACACGTGCCCTTGTCAGTTGCAGCACGAGAAATACGGCGCCAAGAGCCCGGAGGAACGAGCCGAATTTTTGCTGTGGATATGTTGGTTTTTCAAGCATTGGTCAGCATTGGTGCCAAAAAAAATACCCTCTGGTAAACTAACATAGCTATTGGAAATGGCCATTTATAGTGGATTTTCCCATAAAAAAATGGTGATTTTCCATAGTTATGTTAGTTTACCAGAGGGTAAAAACAAATCCAGTGGCACAGTGGTGCATCATGGTTTATCATGTTCCATCATTTTCCCACGAAAAACAACAGTCTTGGGGGTGCATACTCCATTTCCGGGCAACCTTCTGGGCTTTGGCTTCCACAGTTCACCAGGGTTCTGCAAGTTCCTCAATCAAGCGACGCAGTGGTCAGATAAGTTTATTATGATTGTTGAATAGCGTTGATTGTTGTTATGGAGCTTTCGGCACTTGTTCCCATGTTGGGATGGGTCATGATGGGTCACAAAACCTATATGTTTTAAATGATTTGCCATTTATTTGGAGGAATTCAATGTTCATCACCAATTATTTTGGTGTTTGGAAAAACCAGGATGCCAGGGTCGGACCGATCCACCGTTTTTTGCGCAGGAGTTGGGCGTGGGCTGCGCCCGACATTGGCTGGTGAGGCGTTCCTAACTAATGTATCTGCCTGTTCAAACTGGGGATTTCCTGTTGCAATGGTTGATTACGACACCGTACAGTCATCCCCGAACAGATGGACAGGTAAATCATCATGAACTTTGTAGTGATTTTCTCCCTTCCATCTATTTGGGGATAACTTTGTTAGTCCTCTTAGATCTTCTTGGAGTCTTGGGATGTTCGGAGTTCCCCTGGCGGCAAGGCTGGCGATCTCACTGAAACTGCAGTATGCCGGTTTCCCTGGAGGAAGACGCACTCAGAGTACATGTCATGTATCATCTGCAGGTACCATGGGCGTACTACATGCAGTAACCTGTAGTTTGCTGCATCGAAAAAAACGCCCCAGAAAAAGATGGTAGACACCAAAACTCCATTCCTATAGGAATTCTCAATGGGAATTTCAGGATCCTAAAATGGAGGTACCTACCATATATAAGGCCTATGTAAGGCCTATGTAAGGAGATATACCCCCAAAATATGGCCAAAAATATGGTACAGTACCTCCATTTTAGGATCCTGGAGATCTCCCATTGACATTCCTCCCTTAAATGTTGCAGATCTCGATGCAAGCGAGGCCTTCTTTTTGGATGATTCGGTGCGTTCCTGGCGCGGCGTCACCTTGGTCGAGGATCAGCATTGCCTCTTTGGATCCCCCAGTGGGCCCAAGGCTGGATCGAGTTGATGGGATATGACGGGCAAAAATGATGGGATATGATATGATAGGATCAAACCATCAAACCATCAAACCTGTGAATTTGTTGAACTTTCGAATTGGAGGTTTACATATAGGTTTACAATGATTGTAATGTTGAACCTATGAAATCTATGAAGAATTCGGTTAGACACCGTGAAAGTTTGACCCTCCGCATCTCCCAGGGGATGGGCCTGAGCCCCTCTGGCCTGTTGAGGCCCAGTTCAAGCAGATCCCCATGACAAGAGCAGGGCACCTGAGACCTCCATAGAGTTCCCTCAGGTGTCAGTGACCAGCTGGGGATGAAGATTTCACGAGGAAAACATGGGAAACTGAATGGAAACTGAATGGAAACTGGTACAAACTGGGTTCTCATTGATTTCTCCTGGTAGTTCCCCTTAAACCTGGGAAGACTGGAACATACTGGGCTTCGCTGCCACAATCCTCATCTAGGAATCTCTGAAATCATCTGAAATCGCTCAATTATACAATTATATATATATGTGATCTATACGAGATTATATATATATATATATGATATATTATATATGCACAATATATCAATGCATCATTCGCCTTCTGTGGACAAATGCCACATCTCCTCTCGAGCTTCGTTGCTGCTTCGGCTTCGCTCTTGGCTCAGGTCATGGAGTACTTGGCAGAGCCGGAATTCTTGGCTCAGGACGGACGTGTCGTGTCGAGCAGTTTTTGTTCATGCCCTCTTGGACGTTTGCATGCCTTCTTCCAAGAAAACGAGCAAAAAAGACTTCAAGAAAGTGCCGAATGGAAAGAAATCAGTGCAAACGAGTACAAATTCAAGAGTTGCACCACTTTGATCTATGAAGATTCAATTACCTTAAGCAAAAGTTAAGGCTACAGTGGATGGTCTGGGATTGTATAGGGTAGGATAGGGTAGATAGATTTCATGAGGTTGAGCAACACGTGTGGTTCACCAGCTGTTTAGGCTCAGGTAGAGACACCTTTCAGATCATTTCAGATCCTTAAAGCCTTTGACATTTTCAATAAGAACCACTGGTAAGGATGCACTGGCACTTTGAAGCAACATCATGAGGCTTGCTTTCCAACATGTTCCAAGTCGATCCACAATAAAGAGCATCGGCCCATCGGCCCCAGGAAATGCCCAAATTCGTAGCCTTCGGCTTTGCGAGGCCGGGGATGGACGTGGATGGAACAACTCCAACTCCATGACAGAGCACCATCCAAGTCCAGATTTGGAATGGTTATCCTTTGCCTATAATCAATATGATGTTATAATATGTTATAATATGTTATATTTACAATAATATATTTACTGCATACATTTTTATGTATGATATATGTTACAGTACCCCGTTGAGCCCCGTTGAGCCCCGTTGTCCGATGGTTATCATTCGCCTCTCCAGAAACAGCTTGGATGCATCACGCGGAATTCCGGCCAAAAAGTTTGTCGGTTAAGATTGGCCCTTAGTGATTGTTGGTGCTTAGTAAGCGCAAGCTCTCAATAAGCCATTACAAATGGTGGGTCAGCTTTGGGGTTGGTTGAATCCCCATGGTACTTGTGATTTGGCTCAAACTTCGCATAGCCTGACTTGCTGACATTCTCGCACCGCGCACACTTTTCTGATCAGTAGCGCAACATGCCGAAGAACAAGCTCGGAGGAAACAAGGCCAAGCGAGCCAAGGCCAGCACATGCCAGCACCGAGAACAAGAAGAAGGAACTGGAGTTTAATGATGCTGGCCAGAAATAGACAGATCACCCGAATGTTGGGCAACGGCCGCTGTGACGTGCAATGTGCCGATGGCGTGAAGCGCTTGTGCCACATTTGCGGCAAGATGAGGAAAAAGGTCTGGTGCAATCAGGGTGACATCGTCTTGGTGTCGCTTCGTGACTTTCAGGATGAGAAGGGCGACATCATCGTAAAGCAAACTGCAGAAGAGGCTCCTAGCTGCCCGAGAACGTAACGATCAACGAGACGGACATCGGCGAAGGCGACTCCAGCGACGACGGCGTGGAGTTCGATGAGACTGCTGGTGTGGATGTGGACAACATCTAGTTGTGCATGTTGTTTTTGATGGTCGATGGTCAGCATGCCATGGCTGCGATGCATTTTCCATGGCAAATTTTGCCCAGCCAATGGACAGCCAGAGCACAGGGCTACATAGCTATGGGTAGCCGAGTTGGCAGGGCCTAGCGCTCAAGGCGTAGAGCCATGCGCGTGGACTTTTAGTGAAAAAAACTGCAACTGCTTGTGATTTGGCAATGCCCAACCTCATCGAAAACATTCCCAGCTGGGAAGAAAGTCCATGAGTTTGTTTTCAGAACCCTTCACGGTTTCAGGGCCCAGTTTTCCTGCATTACTTTGTATTGAAAAAGAATTCTCATGAGAGATGCCCTTTGGGTAATAACCACTTTCCATGGGTAATCAATAAAATGACCGGAGGGTACTGAGCAGTCCTTCATTGCCAGGCTGGCCCCCGAACTCATGCTCTCCCGGCGTGCCTTTTGTCCGCGGACCTGGCATGACCTTAGTGGTTCCAGCATCCAAATGACCAAATGTCTCGAATGTCTACGGTGAGTCCATGGGTATATGAACCCATATGAACCCGTCAAGAAAATTGACCTATGCTTTCCTACATGTCATGTGGACTGTCCGTGATTTTCTCGGCCCAAATTGTTGGACCGACCAGCCTTCAGGTCTTCAGGGTTCACGTGTGGTGAAAAGCCACCCATTGGCCACCAGCCTTCGCTATGCTTCCAGTGCTTGTGCTGTCTTTCATTGTGGCTGCCGGGGCCACTGCAACTGCAGACGGACCGTCTCATGCAGGATGCTTCGTAAGCAATGGCACCACAATGCTGGCAGCAGCTGGGACTGATAGAGCTGCATTTTTTGAGATTTATATAGATGATGATATTGAGGTTAAGGTTTGCAATTTCAAGTTTCATGTTCATCAGAAGGTGGTTGTGGTCATACCCAAGCAACTGTGTGCGATTTCTTCGGGCATGAGCGAGATTTGGTTCTGACATTTGAGTCACATGCAACCACCATCCTCCGACCGAAAATTTCAATGTCTCAACATGCTTTCACATGTCCATCATGTCCATGTGTTCAGTGGCGGTTCTGTAGCAAATCTGTTGCTCATGTTGCTGAGATCAAATTGACCTACGACGGGAACTTGTTTGACATCCCGGGTGGATGCACGGATGGCCGAGAACCGGCAACACGCACAGCTGAACGTGAGACCTTTGAGGAGTCTGGCTACGAGGCCGGCATAGCCCATATAGCTGCAAGATGCTGCAAGATTCAGATGCTGCAATCGGCTGATTGTTTGCACATGCGGCCCCAAACTTTTCAATTGCACGGACCAGATATGCGCAGATTCAAAGTGTGAAGAAGGGGGAGGATGAGGTAGAACACAGTCACGTGAATCATATCATGAATGAATCATGAACCAATCATCCAACAAAATGCAACAAATCAGTGTTTGCAGAGATTGTGAAGCTGGTGCCCTGTTAGGTGTCTATTGGAGAGCTGCTGGCTACTGTGCGCGGTGGCTTCCGCATCTACAAATGCTACCTGAAAGATTCAGTGCCCCACAAGAACCCTGACCACGAGGTGCGACAAGTCCCAGAAGTGATGGGAAATTTACCCGGTTTACTCCAGTATATTTCGAATGATAAACACGGATAAGAACCGGGTATCATGTTGTTCTTGCAGTTATTCCCCTTTCTCCAATCAAATCTGTCATGGATTTTTCCTGGACTTTGGGAATATCATGGAAAATCCATACGAATCATAATCTTAAGTATCAGTATGTATCAGTATAAGTCCATGTGTAACTCCACACAATATCATTTGTAAATCCACTAAATTTTCCGAAAAAAAAACACGCTTTGCCGCTTCCTCAGGTCTCTCAGGTGAGGTGGATGGACGCCAGTGAAATCGAAGGACATTTGCAGCACCACGAATGGCGATTCCAGGACGACCAAGCAGCCTGGCCGATCTGGCCGTTTTTTTCGATTCAGAGATGCCCATCATTGGATTGAAAAAACAGTAAATATGTTCCAAGAACTGGGGATTTCAGTAAAACTGGTGGGATGTATGATAACCACACCCCAACTACACCCCAACTGGTGAAGTTCGAAGAAATGGCGATTTCAGCATGATTTTGGCATAATTTACTTGGCTTGCAAATGTTTGAAAAAAATGGAATTTATACCCTTAAAGATCTTAAAGACGGTGACATGACCCAACAAAAATGGTGGGATGTAGTGGAGTGGGGATATTATGGCCTGGGAATTTTTAGTGGTTATAACAAATAATTGTCCGGTATACCAAATTAACAAACAGAAGAATAACTATGGAAATCCATGGGTGTTTCCCCCATGTTGTTGACATGTCGTTGGAGGATTTCGAGATTCTTGATTGTTTTGCCATGTTCGTTCCAGTGCTTCCGCCTCTTGCAATTGGGAGACATCATCGGAAGGTGTTTGTAATCTTCTTTGGCGCTGTCACAAGTCACTACATCCATCGGATCCATCGGTCCTTCTGGGGCACTTAGCATTTAGCGTATTTTTGCGTCACATTCTGCTGACCTGAGGCTTGTATGTACCTTGACTTTCTCCTGGGCAGGAATCACAACGACCACAACCGGCGACTGCTGATTGTCTAGGTGACACCCTATAGTATCCTAAGATTGCTGCATGCCTCCCGCTGAATCCAGGGTCCAGCTTTGTCTAGGACGTGGCGAGTGACAGCCACTTTGCGCATTGGTGGATTCAGGGGGAGGTTTGACTCAGCCTTGCCATGGTGCAGCCATGAATATCCATTGCACACTGGTAAAGGTGATGTAATTGGGGATTTCAGCGACCATTGTTGGCCATTTTGACCCCATGCACCTTCCAAATTCAACAAATCTTGCAAATGGGCAAGATCGATTTTCCGACTTTTAGTGTCGCATGTGACAATGTGAGAAGGTGGGGGGAATACTCCGCAGACACATTGTGCAAATCCAGAGCAGGAGTTTTTGTCGGGTCCTGCGATGTGTAGTGCTTTCATCAATTCGATTTTTGGCCCTGCTGAATTGGCAGATTGAATTTGAATACCGATCATGCAAGAACGGCTTTTCAAGTTCTGCTGCAAACAGTTGATCAGCTGCTACACCTCCCAGTATTCCCTTTCCAGGTTGCTGATGGGTCCCACAACAACTGCTGTACAGATGGCTGAAGTCGGATCTGAGATTTAGCATGCTTTGCTTATCTTTGCTTCTGCAAGGCCGCATGTACAAGACATTGGTTCGACCCCTGATTTTGTCGAACTGAGGCCGTTCGCATGTCTATTCTGCATTTCTGCTCAATCTCGTCCAGGACCGGCAGATCCAGGGATGGATTGACTTGACTTCCTCATTTGCTGCAGAACACAAGAGTTATAGAAATGACGGGATTTTGTAGGCTCCAAATTGTGATCAAGAGGAATCTCGAAGGCCACAACCATCTTCACTGTGAGACCAGCACTGCTGAGTGAAGCCGTGGCTGATGCGCATTGATGCGCAGGTTGAAGAGCAGGGGCTGAACTTCAAGCCGGTGACTCAAGATTGGTTGACTTGCAAAGAAGGCACCCCCTAAAAAAAAAAATCATGCTTCAGAAAATCGGTCTCCTACATATTCCTCATTAAACCACATTAAAATGACATGTTTTATATTTTTTTGATATTTTTTGTGGCATCACTAGTCCATGTCGGACGTCAAGATGACCCGATGACGGATACCATCTACCCAAGGCAGGAGATCTTTGTCTGGGAGGACCTTGTCTTCAACCTCCAGGCCCATGATGTGGTGAAGAGCAATCGCTTCGTTGGGGACCACAGTGGGATGATGATCCAAACAAAAAAGAGGGGGGACCAAAGAGTAGCGGTTTGGTATCGCCAAGGGTTGAGATTAGCCCCAAAAAATGAAGAGCGAGGAGGATCACGGAGGATCCCCTTCACACGTCTGTGCTTGGCTGGAAGGGCCATCTGGATGAAAGATGGTCGGTAAGTATCGGTAAGTTGTAGCGACCTCATAACGATCTCACCATAAAGTCAGAGAGAGAGAGGGAATTACCCTCTGGCCATCATGACATGGCTTGAAAGGAAAAATCCACCTCTTGTTGGATGATTTTCCCAGCTATAAACCTCCATTGATAATCAATGATTACCCTCTGGTAATTTAACATAGCTATTGAAAATGACCATTAATAGTGGATTTTCCCATTAAAAATAGTGATTTTCCATAGTTATGTTAGTTTACCAGAGGGTATAGTGGGTCTTCAATTGCAACGGTTGATTACCAGAGGATATTCATGATCCCACTGGGTCCCAAAGATTGCGAAAATTTCTGTCTCTTCGACTTGGCACCTTCGGCAAGTAACAATGGTGAAGTACTGGTTTTAGCCACTGGGACAGGCGACCCATGGCGACCCCAAAGTGACCCAGCCGAAGAAAGTGGAAAAGTACCTAAAGATACCAAAGCATCCCTGCTTCAATTTCCACATAATTAACATGTAAAATGGCATTTAACAGCTGTTTTAATATACTGGTAGGAAGGCTAGGAAGGTGTGCTCATGCTGAGCATGTTGTTGGAAACCTGTAGGAAACAATTCTTTAGAGATCCCAAAAAGGCCTATATATATATTATATTATATATATTATATATTATATATGTATTATATATATGTACACATATAATTAGAAGAGGAGCTTCAAAGTTGTGCTCCGCATTTTATAGTCGTTCTCGTTTTCGGGCATTTTGAAGGCTCATAAGAATCGCTAAAAAAACACAGATAGTTAGTTCAAGTGGGCAAAGCCATGTTGATGTTAAATTCCCCAAAAACATGTTATACTATGTTATACTGCCTGTGCTGTGCAGCGGGTTTTAAAAATCCTTTTCACTACGAAAACGGTTGGTTTTGGGGTCCCCTCATTTTAAGGAACTGCCATTGGACATTTGAAATATTTTGAAAATATGGATTTTGAAACCCCCACATGTTTCCTTTTTAAAGTATGTACCAAAAAAATAAGCGTTTGTTCCAACTTGTTTTGGCACAGAATATCATTTTTGAGTAGAAAAATGCCGGTAGAGACGTCAGATCGGCCACGTTTGACAACAACATGCGAGAAGGGCAGCGTGAATTTCCACGTTGGCTGCCATTGCCAGGTCGTGCTTGGTATATAGATGATATATCTGGGTAAATTATAACGACCGAACCCTGCGACCTCACTGGAATCATGGTTAGTAAGGGGAATCATCCCCAAATGGCCTCAATTCAGGTTAGTGAAATACTATAATTTACCCAGATATAATATGATGATATTCCATGCTGATGGATGTACAGGAAAAAGAACAGCATTGTATGGTCTCATTTCCCGATCCATGCTTTGCTATTCTGATTATTCTACAGTTTAAAAAGCGCATTTTAGATTATAGACACAGGCCATGCCGGCTTGTAGCTACAATTTGGCTAGCACATCTTCAAGCTAGCGGACCTTCAAAGCCGAGGGACCCGGGAGAGGTCGATCCGCCACGTCCACCATGTCCATGTCCCGGCCCAAGGCCATGGTGAAGCAGCCATTCAAGACCGGAGGCCGCTGGATGTGGTTTTCCCCGCGGGGCTAGCCATAACCTCACCAGCAGGGAACTCATGCAAGAGATCTAGGCAGCTAGTTGGTATAGTTGGTGAGGGAAACCACACACCAACCTTGGATTATTTCTATTTATTTCTGGCTTTGTGACTTTCAAATGTAGTTTTGCCTGCATTGGGAAGTTGGATCCGGGCGTAGGGATCATATCAATTCATATAGGATTTCCAGGTGTTGCCGCAGTCAGTGCTGGAATTTCACAACGGTTGTTCCATCCTTTCAATGAGGATCAGAAAATGCCATGGGATCAGCAGATCAGGCTGCTCGCAGATGGTGGCCCGCAGTGCGAATCCCTTCATTCGAGTCGGGGCAGTCAGCGGATGGTCAACAGAATGGGATGAATGGAGGATCCCGAGACAATAGGGTACTAAAATGGTGAAATGTTAGATGATTTCGGGGTACCATGGGGTACCCCTATTTGAGGAAACCTCCATTTGAATATGTGGGTGTCTGAAAATGGACTGTTTGCCCTCAGTTTTTGGCAATCTTGATGGGGAATAAGGGGGAAATATATATATGTGTGTGTGTGTGATAAACCATGGGATTTTTGGTGTACCCTATTCTCAGGCAAACCCATATTGGGGGTTTGCATGTGAATTCGCCAAGAGAAGCCCGCAACAACTGCGATGGGCAAGGCATTCCTATGGCATTGCTTTGTCACTTACACTCATTGGAATTGTTTGCCCACGAAATCGTGCGCTTTCTCCATGGCCCAGATTGCGATATTCCACAAGCCAGCCTTCCAAAGGTCCGAAAGGATCTAACTCTGGCTACAATGGGCACCGGTAGGCACCGTTTGGCCATTACAGTATAGTCGCGAATCCATCTATTAGTATTAGATTATTAGATAGTCAATCAATCTATTAGATACCCTATTAGATAGCCAATGAATGTCATATGATCCATTTTTAGGCTTCCAGGGCAGAGTCCCATCTCGCTATCCAAACAGGGCAGCCGGCTGAGCTCCAAACGCCATGGTGACTTCGGACGTGAAACTGGACGTGGAAGCCTTTCCCGCATTTCGCGAGTTGCTGGTGGATTGCCAGGACCGGGACCCTCACCCGGTGGTGGACGGTCTGACACTAAAACCATTTCTAGATTGCAGGGAACCTGAAGCTTCCCAGGTTTTCACTATGACTTGGATGATTTGGATGCCTATGCTGCCTATGCTGGATCTTTCTCAGCTTATAGCAGACAGATCATTGTCGAGACCGTGCGGAGAGAGGGACCTAGGGTTGGTGCAGAATCTGCCAGTATTCGTCAGACATGTTGAAGCTGCATATATAGCTTCAAACTGGATAGATTGATCCTATCTCCATGATACTAAATAGTTTCCGTAAAGGCCTAAATTTGCTAATTATTTATGTTTGGGGCCGGCAAGGTGCGAACCTGGCAGTGCAACGTCAACCTATGCTGGTTGACAGTTTCAAATATGTGTGAATCATCCCTACTGGGAATGGATTTTCACATGATATGATAGGATATGATATTCTTGGACATGTCTGATTGCCAGTCAATTTATTCGATGTTTCTTGAATGGGTAGCTCAACCTCAACCAGGTCAACCATTGTATAACCAACTGCACCACAGGACTATGCAGCCCTCAGTGGGTGTCGCTTTCAGGCATATGCCTTTGAGAGTCCTTTGGCGGAGAAAATGGGGCCGTGAATGTTGCAGAACCGGATGGACTTTAATTAAGATAATTAAGGACGTCCCCTCGGAATGCTGGTTGCTATCTATAGTTTGTCCATGTGTTGTTGGATCATGTTTGTTTGCATTCTTTTGAGAAAAATGTATATAAATGATATTATTTCCATGATGACAATAATGCAAGGCAAAAAGGCGTCAGGATTCACGCCAAGTGGGGCAGAGGTAACAGGTAAGAACATCAGCGCAATAGCTCATGATGGCCCCGGTACTGGTATGACACAAAACCAGGAACAGGGAACCTGCCACCATGACCTCTGATCGGGGCAGTTTGTGTCATGTTCTTTGGCAGGACGGGCATCCAATGCCATAGGTCCTATAGGTCATAGGTAGACTTAGTCATGCTCAGACCACAAGTTTGCGCACATTCTGATCACTGAAGAGAGAGGAATTTGACGCGGGTTGATTTTTCGCGCAACAGTTCAAACTTACTCTGTTTGATTGATATGTAGCTGGTCCCGGTTGTGGCCGTGTCTTGATCGCACTCCCAAAGCCCAAAGCCCTAATTTATGTTGGTGGATTAGAAGATTGATTGGAAGATATGGCAAGATATGGCAAGGTCTTTGCCAGAGGACTATGGCTCAAGAATCGGGCGCGAATTGGCCCACAATGGCCCACAAATGGCTTGTCTATTCTAGATTTTAGCTCCCGTTTTGGGGACACTTTTGAGCCAGTCATTCATTTCTTCCCTTGCATACTAAGGGTGTAGCAGAGTTTGTGGAACAGAGTAAGTGTGATAGTTCTTGATTGAATATAACTGAAAATGCTTTATAGTCATAGTTTGTCAAGGAAAAAAAACCATTGATTTGTTCCGCTTCTTTTTGTTTGTTCGGAATCCTGCCGTCCTCCTCCACGGCCTCCTCCCGCCGTCCTCCCTCCGTCCCTCATCCTCCCTCACATCACCTTAATCTCTATCAACATCTCTCTCTCTCTCTCTCAACTTGTCTCCACCACATTCAACTCTATCAACTTCTCTGACTTCTCTGTATCAAATTTCTCTGTATCAACTTGTCACACTTCTCTCTATAAACTAAGGTAACGGAGTCACAGGGAAGGCCAACGCGGAAGAATGGAAGGCTGGGACCAGTGGAAGCTCTAACACTTTTCCCTTGGTACTGTTGGGGATTCCTGCGGTTAAAATATAGGGCGCCTCCAACTTGGATTCCTTAGGACACCTCCAAAAAACAGGAAACCTCAATAGCTGGTTTTTGCATCACCAGTTTTTCCCAATGGTGTTTCCCTTTAGAACTACTTTGAGGCTTCCGAACTGAACTTGCGAATGATGCCTTGAGCAAGCTACACACTAGTTGCAGCCAGCTGCATGAACTGGGGTCGACTGTGGTCATTTTGAAGATCTGCCGCAGAACGCTGCAATTAATGGAACAATGAGAAATCAACAACAACCAATCACCCCACCACTAAAGTCACTAAATCACTTGTAGTTTGATGACGTTCATCCGGCAAAACCTGGTACATCCTCCGCCATGGGTCAGGCAGCAGTACAGAAAGCCATGCCGAGGGTCAAAGAGTTTAGAAGCTTGGACTTCTTCAAGAAGCGGAGGTTATCTTGGTCCTTCTGTTGTTTTTTCCGGCCCAAGCTGACAATACAAATTGATACACATTGTTAGTTTTATATTCGGGTTGTCGAGTTGCGACATGAAACCGAAGTAAACAGTACAACGTACATGATGATTGTACTGCATCGTGGCGAATTGCCAGGGTGCACGTGCTGTCGAAGCCACCATCTCCCCCATTTCCCGCCACCTCTGCCAGCAAGATGAAAACAAAAGGAGCATGCCGCGGGAAGTGCTGAATGTTCCTGTTTGCTGTAAATTGATGCAAATGGTCCATAAGATGACTATAGAATACTATAGATGTCTAGTAGTGTGGATGGCCACCTGGCCACCATCTTTCTGGATGTTTCTGTAGTTTATCATATTTTCTCTTGTGTTCCCTTGGTCGTTTCTCTCCTCGTGTTGCCTCAGATTTTCACTGAGGAAAGCGGGTGCAAGCGCAAGAGCCAGGACTGGTAGAAACTTGTTTGCAAGGCTTCAGCAGTGAGGATTTTCCAAGTGATCCAAGCGCTATTCAGGGTGAAAATTTAAAAAAAAAAACGGGGAAGTGTAGCGGATCAGGATGGGATTTGTTTTGACGCAGTTCAATGTTCTCAGGGCATACCAATGCATTTGCAATATTTGTGCGTGTGTGTGTGTGTGTCCCTTGGGCCATGTTCAGTAGTGCAAAATCATCGAATTGGAAGGAGAGTGTGGGGTCGTCAAGACCTATCGCCGACTTCATGCTTGAATCATTTTGGGTTCTTAGCGGCCCTAATTCATAAAGGAGGAAACTGACCTGTGCCCAACCAGTGCAACTTCAGCTAATCATTGGTCCAAAGTTAGGCCAAGGATCGTATTATTTATTTTCAGACCTTCACGACTAATATGAGGACTACATAGGACTACCTTGACTTTCCAAGAATCACCGCTAGGGAGGGTTACTGTACCACACCTTGACTCGTCGCCCCAGCCTGTTGAATATGTCACATCCCAGTTGTGGTTCGGTTCAGGCTGTAGGTGTTCCCTTTCAAAAATTCAGACATCAAAAACATAGATTGTTCCCCGGGGTTGGTCAGAAAACATTAGATTTACCCTCTGGTAATAATTTAACATCGCTATGATGACTTTTAGTTCCATGATTTACCAGGTTGATAACCAGAGGGTCACCATTGTCACCATCATAGATTCCATCCCCTTAAACCTCATTAACTCCGATTTTATCCCATTAAAATCCTAGTAACTCCATTGAAAACCAGGCTGGATACCTTTTGATAAAGCGACCGTCGCCTGAGGCCAGCATTGATGTGGCTTATCGCCTCATCAGTGCTGAAGGCGTGCGCTCGGGCATCGTGGCCACATGTCAGGCGCCGGGGCCGTGGTAAGCTGGCAAATCCTCTATAGGTATGGAAAAATAACAGGAAAATATGGGGAAATCCATGGAAATCCTGTATAAATCAGATTCATAGCTGGGAAAGTCATCAAACGGCATCAAACTCAATATTATATTGGCTTTTCCAGCAAGCCACGTTTGATTACCGGAGGCACCTCATTTTAGATCCTTGAACCACCTGATTTGACATAGCCATGTCATGGCAGGTAAAAAAAGGTGTATCCCTCCAGTATTTTAACATATTTTAACATAGACCCTGCCGGATAGGGGCTGGAAGATTAGTTAATATTAGTGTCCACTGAAAATCTGTGATTTTCGGGGTCTATGTTAATTTACCAGAGGGTACATAATGGTATATATTATCTTATAATATCTTATATTATACTATATATATATATTACCCTCCGGTTATTTAACATAGCCATGAAAAATTCATTAAAACTGGAGGTTTTAATGGGAAAATCATCTGTAAACGGGTCATTTTCCATAGCTATGTTAAATAGCCAGAGGGTAAATATTATATAATAATTAGGGAAGCGCTTTCACAGGTGGACCAAGGGGGGGTCATCTCCAGGAACCTCCGCGCCAGGAGATGGGCCTGTGGCCACCCGGGGTCTGCATTCCTGAGGACGACTGCGCATTTCAGGACACCACAGCATCTCTGCTGCTTGGCATTGAGATATGTGGCGCAACATTTTTTTTTGGCAGGAAGCACCCATAGTTCAAGCCGCAGTGCTCAAGGGTCAAGTTCTGTGTAACTCATTCATAGGTGAATCGGTGAATCAATGACTGGATTAAATCATATTCAATCGATGGATTGAACAGATGAAGGGAAAGGAAAGAAAGGAACGAATGCATGAACGAGTGGCCTTGGGCACTTTGAGCCTGACATAGTTTTTGCAGGGAACCGGAACCAAATGGAGCCAAGGCCTTTGATAGCCCAGAGGGCTTACAATGATGAAATGAGAAGAGAACGGGAGGAATCCTTGCAGCTGTTGTATCGCCCCTTGGGCTCCACATGGGACATGAAACCCATGACTACCAACGAGGCTCGAAGCAGGTGTTGTGCTCATTTTGTTGAATTGAGATTTTGGGATATTGGCATGAACTTTGGCTGGCCCAGCATTTCAGTTCTCCAAGGGCTGTGAGGATTCCAATGGGATTTACAGATCTTGATGCAATCTGGACATATCTGGATGGTAGTGACCCACCGTCGCCCCGCAGCGCAGCGTCGCAAACTTTTCTCGGCAGATCCAAGGTAAAGCGACCACAGCATCTTTCCTAGTGGATTTCGCATCGGAGGTACCAGCGCAGTCAGACTTCCCGGAGGAAAATGACTGGAAAGATTCGCTTTTTTTGAATTGGGACCGGATCAAAAAACATCCAAAACTGTGTTTGAATTTGAATGCTTTTGGTACAAGCTCCGAGGGTTATTTTACTGCACCTGAACAGTGTGTGGGTGCATACGATCATCATATATCATTTATATCACTATATGATGATTTACATGGTATGTAGGTGAATATAGGTTGCATGCGCATTCCTTGAACTGTCTCATAACAGCCCCGGACAAGTCGGTGATAAATCAATTGGACGTACCCATATCAGACTACAAATGCAGCTTCCCATGTTGATAACCAGAGGGTCATCAATCCGTACACCGCGGCTTTGGAGTTGCTTTGTGCACCAGTTTTGATGTTTATGGTCGACGTGGGTCGTAGCGTGAGGCGGGATTGGCACTCCCCAATCTCACAGAGAGCCATCGTGAGATGTTGGATGAATTCATGAAACGTGTCTTGGGCAGGAAGGTTGGCCGTGTAGGCTCAGGCAAGTGCTTCTTTGACTTGGGGGTCAAACATTTGACAAGTGATATATTATATATATATTTATTTATTTATTTATTGATTTATTCTCCGGAATTGGATCAAAGGAAAATCTATAGGACATCCTTATATTTTAATGGAAAACCTGTGGATTCCTGCAATTGTCCCATTCTATAACTTTGAATCATCGATTATTTCCATTCCAATGGCCCAGAAATTCAGTTTACTGACAGATTTCGGTGGATTTGCCAGCAGCCGCAGCTGAGGAGTAGAAGAGTGGAGCAGCCAAGGTGGATCTTCCAGAAGCTGGGACCAGTTCGACTCGTAACCAACATGAAAGAACTACTGATGGGTACATCTTCATATTTTTTTGTCTGTGCGTGTGTGTTCAATTCTCCCGTGTATATATTATATACACAAATACACAAATACACATATACACATATACACATATACATACATACGTACATGCATACATCCATCCATCCATCCATCCATCCATACATACATACATTACATACATTACATACATTACATGCATTACATGCATTACATACACTACATACATTACATACATTACATACATTACATACATTACATACATTACATACATAACATAAATAACATACATAACATACATAACATACATAACATACATAACATAAATAAGATACATAACATACATAATATACATAACAAACATAACAAACATAACAAACAAACAAACAAACAAGCAAACAAACATACATACATACATACATACATACATATTAACATGCATACATACATAACTAACATACATACATACATAACTAACATACATACATACATACATTACATTACATTACCATACATACATACACATACACATACACATACACATACACATACACATATACATATACATATACATATATATATACATATACATATACATATACATATACATATACATATACATGCATACATGCATACATGCATACATGCATACATGCATACATGCATACATGCATACATGCATACATGCATACATGCATACATGCATACATGCATACATGCATACCTACCTACATACATACCTACATACCGACATACCTACATACCTACCTACCTACCTACCTACATCAATACATAATATACATATATAATATATAATTATATATATATACATGTGTGTGTGTGCGTGTGTGTGGGCATGAGTGTATACTATACTCAACAGGATATAATATCCATTGCTCCATCAATCGTTTCTGTTTTGTTGGACGCAGCATGGCACCAAGGATTTGACCTTTGTCCCATCGCCCGTGCTGGAAAGGCCCTGACGCAAGGTTTGGCGAAGGGAGGTCTGGCCGCCGAAGTCGCCAAGGAAACTGTGAAGCAACGTTGGAGAAACTCGGCCTGTGGTAAAGGATGGCTTAAAATGGGGAAACGAAAAAGCTATGGATGCATTAACCACTAATGGCGATTAATTAATGGAGATATAGATATTAATGATTAATGGATATATATATATATACAATATTAATGGAGATACATTATGCCAATTATTTAAATGAATATATATATATATACATACATATGTGTTGGATATTAATGGGATACAATGGGATATCCTTCTATCTCTCATGAACATCCTACTATATAGCGAACAGAGTATGTGGAGATAATTGTGATAAAATGGGGTTGTAATATATATATAAATGATAGAATACTACCAATTTTCAGACAAATCCATGTGATCCTGTGTAGATTAGAGTGGACAGGATGGATGGATACATTTGGAGGGGCCATTTTTTCCAACTGAAGTGGCTATGGATGGATATGATCTGGGTCAACATGATCACCCCATTCGATGCAGTGGAGGATGTGCCTGCGACGTCTGGATTTACTGAAGATGATTAGTTTGTGTTTTCCCAGCCCGTTAATCATATTAATCCACCAGTAAGAGAATCTACTTGCCATATATCCAGGATTAATTACTGGCCATCTATCCATTTATATCCATTTATCATATTCCTGGCCATCGGTTATCCGAAAATATTGATGATTATGCGACCATGAATCATATTATTACTGACCATTATTGCTGTCAATGGATTGGTTTAAGGCTTTAAGGGAAAATCTTAACCAGAAACCATCGATTTTCCCATTAATTAACCCCTATATTTAATGGTAAAAACGATGGTTTCCTGTAAAGTTTCCCTTGAACCACTCCATTGATACTGGGGGCCCGAAAAGTTGTAAAACCCTGAGGTCAGAATTGGGACACCACGACCGGAACAGCCGGGCCCTTAAGGTGATAACTGGGCAGAGTTGGCCCATGGCTATGGCAGCTATGGCCCCTTTATAGATGGACCTCTTAAACATGGTGGCCACATGTTTGATGGTTAGATCATGTGAAATCATGTTAAATCCCTGTTTTCGTCAAATCCTATTTAAAACCCGTGGTTTGGTTGGTTGAATCACATTCAACAATGAAAATGGTTGGCAAGTTACATTAATTGTTGGTGATTTTCCCATGACGTAGACATTTCATGCCATGAAATGCCATTTTCAGATCCTTTCAGGGATGATACCAGAGGTTGAAAATCCCGGTGGCTGAAAGATCGTGGGTTTCCAAGGCCGTGAACTTGGTGGCCACCGCCTTGGCGGTCGCCGCGGCCGCGGCCGCTGTGCAGCGGGCGGCACGAGCGAAGTGAGGTCCAGGAACGAGGGGACTTGGGGAGTTGGGGATGGGAAAAACTGTGGAAAAACTATGAAGGATCTGATGGAGTTGCAGATGAGTGAGAAAGCACTGGTAACAAGGATGTACAAAAAGATCAATTTGGAAGGTGATGTTTGGTGATTAGGTGAGCATTCAGGACGAAGTTATATCAAACATATCAAAGTTTGGCAAACTATACAAACTCCGCAAATTGCTGGGGAAAAACCAGATTCCAAAGAGGTGCAGCTGGGTGCAGCTTCGGCTCCTGTAAGGCGACATCTCTCAAGGTACAGGCCGCGGAAACGTGAGAGCTCCAAGCGGTTTTGGGCGCCGTGTACAGTGACTGGCCTCGATCCATGCGGCGAAACAAGGGCTGTAGCAAGGTGTGTGACCTGCACCCTGACTGTCACTATTGGGGGGATGCCCAAGACATCCCAAGATAACTGGAAATAGTTCTTCATAGTTTTATATCAATATCATCAAGTGTGGCGCATCCAGGCTCATCAGCTGAGCCGCCTCAGTGGGGAACAGTTGGCAGCTGAGACCCTTGGAGTGGAGGCTGGAGCACTGGAGGTGTCAGATGGTGTCAGGGAGTGTGTGGCTGTGAGTTCTCCAAGTTCTAGACCCATAATGACCACTGGGATAGGGATATTTGGGGGTACCCATTGACTGTTGGAACTATGGGACATGCTCAAGTTGTTAAGATTTGGCAATAGACAGAGTCTTTGGCTATGGACGCATGCGCACACCTTTGCTAACTAGTTATAGCAGGTGCCCCATGATTGCACTCTATCTCAGGAATTCTTGGGACTGTTTTTTTTTGGGACAGTTGAATGATATACTGATGACATATTCCAGCTATATTCTTGCCTTCGATGTCGCAAGCTACATGCACCTGTGTATCTTTGCTGGCCAGGCACCCAAAGTTGCAGGACGGGGGGCTCAGTTTCTTGACCTCACGGATTGAACTCTGCGGTCATAGCACCCCGAAGAAAAAGGTCAGAAAAGCAGAATCTTACAAGAATAGTGATAGTTTACTTGTTTTTTTTTCGGGTGCAAGATCATGAAGACCAATTTGAAACCTGATATCCCAACGGGTGCTGGAGCCTTCTGCAGGCAAGCGAAAGCGCGGGCGGAAGGCCGCAGCAGCTGCTATCTCAGATGACAGCATCATTCACCACCTGAGATGTCCCAGGTTAGGGGATTTTGGGGGACTGGACATAAACTTTTACAGTTCTTTTCAGGAGGATATGGACAATGGGAGCCGGGCCTCATATAACCTAGTCCCACCTCTCCAATAATCTACCTTCCCGGACTTGTATTTATTGGTATAAGTTGCAGCAAAATCGTTAGTTACAGTCAGTTGGTCAAAATTAGCAACCCAGGGTCTAAACTTCTAAACATTCCCATTACCCCCAGCAACCATAAAGGTGATTTTTCAAGCTGAGGGCGTGCAGGAAGATGAAGGGCCCAAAGCTCCCTTCGACCTGTTGAAGCTGGAAGAGGAGCTTCCAGGGGATCCAAGGGGTGCTTCAGGCTGCCATGAATGTCATGAGTCTTTAGCAGGTGCCCTCCAGCAACCAATAAGATCCAACAAGTGAAAATAGATCAGTCATGATAATGAAATGGAGGGTAAGGGATCTTCATGAATCGTCTACATAAGCTTATGCTACAAGCATGTAGAACATGATGGAAGTGGATGATGTAGATGATGTCCCTTTCAAGACCTGGGGTCTGTTTGCCGGGTTCAGTAACGCCATGGCCTCATGCTGCAGGATCCTTCACTGCAGGCAGAAGGCCAAAGGGTTTGGTGCTGGTATTCCTTCATTTGAGGGTCCCATATTATCAGGATGTCCATTTGATTGATGGATATTTATGGGTTGTGCTTAGTGATTTAGTATGATTTTGTGTTGTTGATCTTGTTAAAGATTGATTACGGGGATGATGGTTCCAAGTGCGGCAAGGTGCGGTGGTGGACGACAACGGAGCATTGGTGTGCCTCGGCTGAAGCTGGCGACTTCTGGGATCATGTCCCTGAAATGCTTGGTCTATGGGCCATGTATGGCTTTATGAACTTGGATTTACCGCAGTAACATTGGGTCATTGGATGTCATTGGGTTACATTGGGTTTATGGGATGGTTATTGGGTTTACTATGGTTTACCTCAGTCATAACGCAAAAAACATCGTAAAAGATACTCCATTCTGAAAGTAGATGGCGCAGATTTTTGCAATGCGCCATCTATAGACCACTTGAGGGATGGGGTGTTTTGCGCCATCTATAGGTTCCCGACACACGTCCTTGAAAACAACATGTGTTCCTCATGTTTCCTCTAGGTTAGTTTAAACTTAGTATTTAAGATCTGGGGTCCATTTTTTTTTGAAAACCATAATTGTGGATTGCGCCATCTATAGGTTCCCAAAGGAGGAGGGAAAGGAGAGAAAGGGAAAGGAGAAAGGAAAAAAGGAAAGGGAAAGGGAAAGGAAAAGGAAAGGGAAAGGAGAAAGGAGATAAAGGAGAAAGGAGAAAGGAAAAAAGGAAAGGGAAAGGGAAAGGAGAAAGGAGAAAGGAGAAAGTAGAAAGGGAAAGGGAAAGGGGAAAGGGGAAAGGAGAAAGTGGAAAGTGGAAAGGGGAAAGGGGAAGGAGAAGGGGCCAGGAGAAAGGGAAAAGGGAAAAGGGGGAAGGGAAAGGAGAAAGGAAAAAGGAGAAAAGGAAAAGAAAAGGAAAGGAGAAAAGGAGAAAGGAGAAAGGGAAAGGGAAAGGAGAAATGGAATGGAGAAAGGAGAAAGGAGAAAGGAGAAAGGGACAGGAGTTAGTGTATGTGTGTGTGTGCTTGCATATGATTTTGGGTCAAATGCCCAATTCTGGTAAGTTTTTCCCGGCGAATCATGTTATTTACAGCTCGCTGTGTGCATTTTTTGCCTCCCAAAGTGAATTGCGCCATCTACAGTGCACAGTTAGTGTATGAGTGTGCGTGCATATGATCTAGGGTCAATTGCTTAATTTCGGTAAGTTTTTCCCGGTGAATCGTGTTATTTAATGTTATTTACAGCTCGCTGTGTGCATTGATGCCTCCCAAAGAGAATTGCGCCATGTACAGTGCGTGGTTAGTGTATGTGTGTGCGTGCATACCACTGTATGTCTGTGTGAGCCACATTTGCTTCAATAATATAGCTGCATTGTGTTTGAAGATGGCAGCTCCACCGGCAGTAGCCCTGCCTGGTGCAAAATGTGGTGAGAATCCAAAGAAAAAGAAAGCAATCGCTATTTTCCAAAAATAGCGATGCTATTCGGGGTCGCGCCACCTGCCAAAAATAGCGATTTTACGGCCAGGCTGCGCCATCTACCGTCGCTATTTATTTATTTTTTTGCGCCATCTACTTTCCGAGCGGTGTAAGTGCATTGAATATGAACCGCTGAATCCAGCATTGGCTGAAAGTGTGAAGTTTTTTGTGTCCGGGATTGGGGTGAAGGTGTTGCAGCCAGGGTGAAACCAATCCGTTGAGCAAGAGACTTTTTCAAGATTTTCTGTTGTCCAATGTCTTTTTTCCGCACGAGTTTCATTTCCAACCATAATCAGCCTAGGAACTCCTACTATAAACGCTTCATCCAAGCCTTCAAGGATGCGGAGAAAGTTCGGCCCTCACAACTTACAGACGCAGGCTGCATATCGCTGGTGACTCACAGTCACACAGCAATGGTGACGTTTTCCCCTGGAATTCTGGCCACTAGGCCCGGGCAGACGTGGCAGCGCCCCGGCCTCCCAGAGGCTTTACACTTTACAGAGACAATACTTTTCACACGCATCACAGAGACAGTTGTGTTGGGATTTTGATGGATATTGTAGATACCCCAATATCCATCAATATCCATCAATATTTGAGAGGGAGATATTGATAGCATTTGATAGCCCCATATTGAGTTATTTTGCTCCAAAAGCATGGTATCATACCGGGTATTCCCCAATTTTGATCCAAACAGCTTGGTGCAGCTGAGGCCAACCGGCTTGAAGCGACCAGGGGCCTCCGCCCAAGATCCACTTGAAACAAAAAAGGATAACTGACCATATATTATTATAATATTTATAATATATATATATATTATATATATACATATATCATATATATATATATGTATGTATGTATGTATGTATGTATGTATGTATGTATGTATGTATGTATGTATGTATGTATGTATGTATGTATGTATGTATGTATATATATGGTTTTTAATACCAAGAAATTCAAGAAATACTCAAAATTTGCATGCTAATATTAGGATGTTGACCATCCAAGAGCCATGTAGAAAGAGCCATGAAAAGTTACGCCCTGTTTCCCAGATGTGAGAACCATAGAACCTCAGCGACCCTCAGGTACGCCCGGGCGAAGAGATTCCAGAGCACGTCCGAGTGAGCCACTCAGACACTTCACATCCTGAAGAATCCCTTCCGGCTATTATTAAATAGGAAAAACGAAACCCTGATTTAGTACTGGGTCATACTGCATCTAATATGTTGGGGCCATATGGTGGTGTTTATTTTTTTGGCGGGGATGGGATTATTCGAACCAGAAAGGATTTAGTAGACTATAGTCACCTTCGGAAATGATGCTGAGGACACTGCCAGTTTTTTCCGCTGGGCTAAGTAAGTGCTCAGGAGCTTCTGAGGTGACATTGTACTGCGCTGACCTTCATACTATTCCAGGACCTTATTTCTTGAAAGATTGAATCCACAAGCATGGTTGTTGCGTACCGGTGTGCCGCATGCTACTTTGAGGCGGTTCAAGGATTAGTATTACATGTTGTGTTCATTTTTTTGATAGAATGAAAAACCAATTTATACATTATATCATATATCATATCTCATATATCATATATCATATATCATATATCATATATCATATCACACCACATCACATCATATCTATCATGTCAAATCATATCATATCATATCACATCATATCATATCATATCTACCATGTTATATATAATCCATGATGTGTTTTCCCGGTTCCATGTTTGTGACTACCAGAAGTTTACTGCTCAGTTCTGGGACGACTCGCTGGGCCGGCGGAAAGGTGCAGCTGGCGATTTTTTTTGGGGGGGGTTCTTGTGAAGTGGGAGAAAAACCGCGGGATAACTTGGAGAACCCATCATGAATCATGATTCTTCGATGTGAATTTCGTCGTGATCTTGGATGTTGCTGGGGATTTGCTCATATTTGCTTCTAAGATGTCGTCAATGAGGAGTTTCCAATGGCATGGAGCTGGAGCTGAGGAGTTTCAACGCCGCAGCCATTGGGCGTTTGCTGAAGGGATAGGCAGGCAATGATTGGCAGTTGGCAGACCAAGCCAAATGGCCACGGTGAAGGATTTCAAGAGGTCTAATTTTATGAAATATCGTTAACAGCTACAAAGTGCTATGAAAGTTGATGAAAGCTATTGAACTGGGCTGAAGGATTCGAACTCGCGCCATGACGGGGTGGCTCAGCGCCTTGTTTGGCTTTGGTGCCGCGCAAGCAGCTGTGCTGGGCTCTGGAGTTTTGGAGCTGGGACCTTGGAAAGCTTGGAAACATTTGGAAACCTTGGGAGGGACAACGAACTTGAGGATTGTTACTTTAACAAAACCAACTTGTGGAGGACTTTGGATGAAATGGTCACCTGCAATTCCGTATCCATATTATTTGAGAAAATGGGGAGAAAGGAGATAGGCAATTTGAAAGAAATGATGAGATTGGTATGCTCAAAAGTGAGGCCAACGCTTGCGAAATCTTTGCATCAGAGGATGTACTGTAATGGTATTTAAAGGTAAATATTGGTAACCTAGCTCACCCAAGTTGGGAAGGAAGACTCACAGTCAACAAGGCTGGGTCTACAAAACACCACTGGAGGTCCTATGATCGATGTGAGCATTGCTCCAAGTTTCGCAACCTTGTGGAAAGTTCATGATAATGATTGATAATTGAAAGATATTCAAAGATGCGAGGAATTGACACCTAAGGTGAATGAACACCAGAATCAATCACCCAAGTTTCATGACCGCCATAAACCAATCCCAAGTTTCATGCCTGGCGTGCTGAGGGCGTCCAAGTTTTATGCCCTCTCTGCGAAGGACTCAACAGGACCCAATGATGGCCATGGATTTTGGAGTATTTTCCGACAAAGTCCATGTATCTTAAGATTTGGGAGCATTGAATTGACCAGTTTCAGCCCATCCCTCCTTGAAATACTGTATCCTGAAGTGATTGGTTACATGGATAGGTAAATAGAGCATAATAGAGCTAGAATTTGGTGTTTGTGCAATTCTTAAATTGCAGGGGCGCGGCGCGCGTTTTCACGCTTCAATGATTGTTCAGATCACTACTAACCTGGTAAGTGAAATTTCGCGGCTGGCAGTTGCCTCTAACCTTGACATTCCTATTCTTCAAGCGGGTAACGATTGGTTTAAGGGCAAATTCACATAGATGTACCGAATTCTCTCTGATCAATCTAGGGAAAATCCACATGGAAAATCCATGGTTTCCGCATGTTTCCGGTCGATTTTCCCATCCTTCAACCAGTGAAGAGGCGGCGTGTTCAACTTCGCCAGCGTCAAGGGGGCCAGTGCTGTGCTGATCACCAACGTGGCCAGCGAGTGAGGAGTGTGGGCCCCTGGAACGATAACGAATCGAAATCGAACATCAGAACTGCCATTCCTGGGATTTTAGTCAGGGTGCTATGGGGATTGCTACAAGACGTTGGTTCCTGTGAAGGAGTCCTCAAAGCTTTTAGCGGTGTGCTTTGTGTGAGAAAAATGACTTTGGTTGGGGAACTAATTAGGGGTTTCGATCGTTGTTGGCCGGCGATATGTGCCAATCTCCCACCTTGGACCCCGTCCAGAGCTTGCGAACCGGTCATACTGTCACAGAAATTCTATACAATTTCATAGTTTCTGGTTTTTCTTCATGTGCTGCTTCACTTCCAGGTGACTGATGTGAATTATGCTGACTTTCTGACCATCCAAAAGAAATACCAGGTGAGGCTCGGCGAGACCTGTCCAATAGCCTCATCAAATCCTGCAGGGATCGCCCCAAAGATCATTATGATCATTGGAGTTCAGTAGAACCCCCCTGAAGTGTAAATACGGGAGAACTGAAACACAAACGCTCCAGATTGACACATCCTTGCATTTAGTGACTGGAACTCGCTCCGGATCCAAAAGCCTGCCCCAGGGTTTGGAATCCACGCAGGTTTCGTTCGATATTCTCTTCAAAGGATCTTGCAAAGCCTAAACGAAAATTGATGCGTTCAACTTGTCATTGACGAACCCCACTTGCAACGCACATAATTCTTGGGGCGTCCTGGCACTTGGCTCCAGGATGTGCATGTCATCGCTTACCCCTGTCGCTTGGCGGACAATATGATTGCCTGCCTGGTTTTTGATGGTTTTGCTAACGGCGCTGTTAGCGACCCCATAGGAAAACATAATTTTCTAGTGTTTGGTGGTTTCGGGTGGGTGGGGGGCTAGGGAGGGTTGGGGGGTGCAATAACGTTTAATAGCATTTGCATTTATGGAAGATCCAATGTTACTTGACGTTGCTTGTAAGGTGCAGGTGATGCCGCGCTACTGCAAGGTGACTTCATCTAATGTAATCTATGCTACGGATTGCTACGGTATTGAATGTTGACTTCTCCGAACATAGATGATGCTTTGCCATGTTAGGTTAAGTTGAACTAACATACATCATTGTATGCCGCTTAAACAAATCTTGCACTTGCACACATGTCTTGCACTCTCAGTGGATTGCACAAACGTTGAGGTTGACCTGCACTAACATACGTGATGTTACGCTACTTGCTTTTGATGGTTGGGGTTTCGGGTGGGGTGGGGTGGGGTGGGGAGTTGGGGGGGTTGCAATAACGTTCAATAGCGCTTGCATACATACAAGATGCTACGCTACTTAATGCGAACTTCAGTTCGAATAAGATGTGATGTGACGCTACTTCAAACAAACCTCTTGTCACATACGTAATGCTTCGCTAAATCAAGCACACAATGTAACATATATAGATGTTGCTACGCTACTTGACGTTAACTTAATTGTTAATAAGATGTTATGTTACTTGAAGTTAACTTTGTGTAGCATAGATTGTGCCAGGCTGCTTAATGTTAATATCATAACATATCAAAAAAAAATGTTATGCTACTTGAAGTTCACTTCATGCAACATAGATGATCCTGCGCTACTTAACGTTAGCTTCCTTTCAAATTAGAGTTCTCTTGTGATATCTTGTGATAAACTTGGGTTCTTGGCTTTAAAAGAAAAAGCGTCCTGAAAGCCGCAATTCCACTGGCCCAAAATGAAAAAAGGCTTGCCTTCCTGAAAATACCAACAAATTTAAAGCCTTGAAATCTTGACTTCCACATAAACATGCTCCGAAATGCAGGTTTTGAGCCCTTGCCATTTTGAACAATGTTCAAATTCCTCAGGGTCGCTATTGGCGCCGGTACCTTCTTTTTTCCTCGTAAGACCATGTGAGAGCTGCAAACATCTCCCAGGAAACTCCCGGGCTTTCTGGCGTAGTCACTGAGGCAACCAGTTCGGAAAGCAAGAACCCGGCAGCAATGCCGAGATCCAGCAGTTTGCACAGGCCAACGGCTGGAAAGTCTCTAGAAACGCATCAGCAAACTGATCAAACCGCCAGGAAAACGTCACGTTCATTCATGTTTGCATAGTTTTGCTATGGCAGGCCAAAGGGCTTTCTTTGGAGTCAAACTTCCACTTGATGAGCAAGGTGCCAAGGGTTTGCTTAGGATCTTAGGGGCATGAGAATCAGCAGGATGCTGTCTTTCTATTGCTTTCTGCAGCTGCGCGAGGTGAATGTGAATGGTCCGAAGACCGATGCAGCATGGATGGCTTTGAAAGAAGCCACGAAGACTCAGAGTCAGGCAGCAGGGATCAGCAGGGTCTTGTGGGATGATTTCTTGATATTTCTTGTAACATCATGCCGATCAACGTGAATCATATCATTACTCATACTATCTCATACTCATTGAAAGTCCATCGGGTGAAGGACATCGACCTGAACTCGCCACATACATGAGATATGATCCTGACATGGCATGAGCTGCAAATGGGGCTCCAGGATACGCGATGGAACTTCGAAACTAAGTTCGTGGTGAAATGCGGTGACACCGAATGCCCCCAGACCGCAACCTCTGGTGGCACATGGTGGATTGTGGTGGATGAAAAGCCATTTGAAACCCTGGTAAAGGCATGGCAATCTGCGGTAAAAGACCTGGCGATCCGCAATTCATAGTGTGTTTTTGGATTTATTTCTTCCGCTGCTGGCGGAGAGAGGGGGTGCGCATGTCAAACTCATGATTATTTATATATATATAATTAATTAATTAGTCAAATTGTCTGGTGGTTTCCCATGTTCCTTTTTAGTTTGAGACTGAAACCACTGGCTCACACAAAAAAACAATGGATCTGGTCCAGTCTATACCTCCCATTGTTTCGCGCAGTTCTCCAAAGGTTCAGTCTCACGGTTGGCTGGCGCCGGCACCATGGAAGCCCTCAAGCAGGTGGTGCCTGAAGTGCCCCTTGGCGGCTGAGAATGGATGCATTCCAATGGAAACTGCAGACAGAAGGCCATGCACCCCACAAGATCGCACCCCGAGAGAAGGACAAGAAGCAGAGCACCTAGTCAAGCATCAGAAGGGCTGGAAGATGAATGTCACCTGTTGCTATCTCTCCACTAACCCAGGTTGAAGGCGAGTGGCTCAGAGCTGTAGCCTGTCAACGTTTGCAGATCAGAGAGATCTGGGGTGGAGTGGTGGAAGCCATTATATATATAATATATAATATTATATAATTATATATATATATGTGGAGTGGCGAAGCCCTCTTTTGTGCATCTTTATTTCGGGGGTATCGGTATCAGGGATCATACAGCCTAGATGTCATGTTGCGTTCCCATCCACAGAGGGGTCATCAATAAAGATCCTCATGAACCAAACCGCAAGCACCCCTTTTCTCGTTTGGAAAAGAAAGGCGGTGGGTCGCAGCAAGAGGCGTTCCACAAGTCAGGAGCAGTTTTTTAATTTATTCCATGCTCCGCTGAAGCTTAGCAGGCTATGTACATCAGCAGATTTTCCTTAGCTCGGCTGTTGATCGGTCGGTGACTCCTTTGTGCTTGCGAATGATGAGAAGCCATTTGTCAGCTGGAAAAACTTGGACCCGCAAGCTACCATGTCAGCAACGGAATCCTTCGCAGTAAGTAAACTCAAGCACATTGCGCAAAAAACAGCCAAGAGTTTTGGCCAGGTTCCACCATGTTCCGATTTCAGATCTAAACTAAATCATCATTGCCCCAGAGGGAGCGGCTCAATCCTCCTACATCTGACAGCTTTGGCTTCTCTGACAGCTGTTGCACTGGGAAGCACCGGGTCAAAAACTGCCGCAGTTGGGAAGCAGATGGCTCCGCCAAAAATTGCGGGTGCATGACATGGCTTTGGCTGAAAGAAAGCCATAGGAGACGCCAGTCTACTATGACAGCGAGTTTGAGAGTTCTAAGACGGATTCAGGATTTATGGGGTGTCACTTTTACCTCTTCACCAGGTATATAAATGGTAAATCATTGTTAATCATCCACAATTGGCTCATTTTCCGTTGCCATGTGTGATTTTACCGGAAGCTTCAAATCATCAACTGGGCTCCTCACTGCCAGGTGTCGTGCACTCACGGGAATCCTGGGGTGCAGGCAGGGTGTCCTCAGTGCTAATGCTACACCATGTTACACCGAAGAGAGGAGCCCACATTTTTTGGAGGTTCTAATGGGAGAATCATGGAAGATCAACGATGTATGTCTATGCATAAATCGAGGATTTTCCAGTAAGCCATGTTTGATTACCAGAGAGTAGATCCAATACATCTTACCTGGGTGTTTAAATATCATCGGTGGAGAGGAATTTAAAAACATAAAATATGCCAAGATAGTCGATTGCAATAGTTCGGTGGGGAAACTCCTGCTTAGGTTATATTGCGTCTCCGATCAAAGCGGCCAGTGGCTCTCAGTTTCCTTTGGTATGTGGACAATATGTCTCCTTATTTTCTGGGTGTGCTGGGGATAACATTTCTCAGCCAATGTTTGGAATGTTCTGAATCTACATGAATGCATAAGGTTGGAAAGCAATGCGCCAACAGACATAATAAGTCCAAGGTCCAGGTTTCACTGGAAAAGTGATCCGATGTTTTTCCATGTCCTTCCCTTTGCCGATCGTAGGACGTCAAACAGGACCAGTTTGGGCTGAGCTGTGACTGAGGAAGATAAGAAGAGGCAAAGCAAATGGCCAAGCCCCCAGTGCTGTAGCTGCCACACTGCCCATTCTGTGGCCGTTGCACCACTCTTGCAACAAGCTCCTGCCATCAGCATCCATCTTCAAGATTCAGATGGCTTTGGCACACGGAACGGAATGTGCACTGGATGTAAAAACCACAGGCAACCAAGTTGTATATATATATATAATAGTTCATGTGCATTTGCTATTTCAGCCGGTGCTGTGAAAACTCTTCAACCAAATGGTCGTGGAGTCTTGTGGCTTATAAGCAGCAGAGTTGCCGCTAGAAGCAGACCTAGCAACCTGTTTTTTGCAATGATAAAAGTTTGATGGCTCCATATCATTCATATAGTATTATTAGTGGTATCATGGTTACTATTAATATGATCATTGCTATCATGATATGTTCCTGGTGGATTCGATGATATTTGATGCAGCCATATGCACGGCACGCAGCCAGGTTCAACGTGAAGACATGGGGATGTTGGCGCATGGCCTTTGTCCTGGCTCGGCTGCAACAGCAGGACGGCACCGATGGGGTCCTTTCCGGGGTCCAGGAAGGGTGGAACTGCTGAGGTTCTTTATCCCCTGGGGTAAAGCCATGGTTTCAATAGGAAAATGATCTACAAATGGTGGGTTTTCATTGGTTTTCCACATCTATATTAATTAGTAAACAGGAGGGTACCATTATTATACCTCTTTGTACCAAGATGTACCAAGAGTTGTTTTTATCTCTTCATATCTTTTTAATATTCTCAGTATTCTCCAAAGGGATTTAAGCGGGGTTTATAGCTCTTTCTACCAAGGTAGACGATTGGGCATACTATGTAAACATAGGTAGAGGGATCGATCGATTGATAGATAGATAATGATAGGTGATCGATGGGGCGTCGCAGTCTGTCAGCAGGGAGGACAAAGTTGGAACACTGAAACATCATTGAATATTGGGATCCATGTCGCGGCAAAATGGTTGCCGGAAGGGAGTCCAAGAACATCCAAATAAAAACCACATCAAAAGGGTCCCAACTGAATCCATGAAACGACACCTATGCGTACATATGCATAATTAATATCTATACATTCAGAGATGTACATATATCATCATATCATATATATATATATATCATATATAGGCCAGAACTTGATCAAAGCATCTTTGAACTCCAGTTTTCCCTTGTTCCCCGATGGCAATTTGGTTTTTGTTCAGTTTTCGTCAACCGCAGGTTTGGCAAAAGCGCTACGACCTCGCCGTGGAGAACGGGGAGATCGAAGGTCGAACAATGGTGTTTTGTAGATGGCGTTGGTTCAAAAATGGGGTACCAATGGACCCACAATGGTAAACATCAGTAACAGTATTTATATGGGGGTTTGCCTGAAAATGGGGATTCCCAATAGCTGGATGGTTTATAAGGGAAAATCCATCTGTATTTATAAAATGGGCTAACGCCCTGGTGCCGCCGACCCCCTTTAAAGGGGGTGGGTCAGGCAGTACCAGAGGGTAAATCACCATCAATCATCAAAGAAGAAAGACGAAACAGGGAAGGCCGAAGAAAAGCATAAAGCCTTGAAAGCAGGTAAAAGGCAGGAAGGCAACAAGGCCAGCAAGGAGAAGACCTTGCCGGCAAATACACGACACGCAACGCAGAGAGGACAGAGTTTCCAATATGTCTGTCCTGCTTGCCATCAGTCAGTGATCAGCAGCATACGCACAGGGCAAGTAGATCATCGCCGGACATGCGGGAACCAATTCCAAGTGCAAGACGGTGTTGTGGCAGAGAAATCTGTTGTTTACACATGTCCGCCTTGTGAACAGCAATGTGAAGACAGGGAAAATCAACCATCGGGGTGTCTGTGGGTACAAATTTTCGGTACGGGACGGCGTTGTCGCAAAGAAAAGTTTTGTTTACCAGTGCCCATTTTGCAATGGACTTGTGAACAGCAACGTGAAGACAGGGCGAATCGACCATCGATCTGTGTGCAACAATCAATTTTACGTCAAGGACGGTGAAGTCAGCAAGCAGACACGGCGTCATGCGCACAGTTGCCCGGTCTGCTCCACTGTTGTTTGGTCATCGCTGTCATGTGGCCGCATTGCTGTCAAGCATGACATGCCATCGGGAAAACCATGTCACAACAAGCAGTGGCACGTTCCCGAGAAAAAGACAACGAAAACAAAAAAGAAATAAGAGCCTCCTTAAAAGGACACTGCCACGGCCTCAGGGACTTGTTGGAGCTGCAGGAAAGGTCTGCCGCGGCCTAAGTGGCGCCTGGGAGCTGCAGGGGAGGATTTGTGGAGTTTTGGCGAGTTTTGAAGGCTGGCAAACGGCAGCCTGGGACCTCCGTAAAAGGACACTGTCACGGCCTCAGGGAATTGTTGGAGCTGCAGGAAAGGTCTGCCGCGGCCTGAGTGGCGCCTGGGAGCTGCAGGGGAGGGTTTGGGGAGTTTTGAAGGCTGGCAAACGGCAGCCTTGAACGTCCATAAAAAGACACTGCCACGGCCTCAGGGACTTGTTGGAGCTGCAGGAAAGGTCTGCCGCGGCCTGAGTGGCGCCTGGGAGCTTGGGGAGTTTTGAAGGCTGGCAAACGGCAGCCTTGAACGTCCATAAAAAGACACTGCCACGCCCTCAGAGACTTGTTGGAGCTGCAGGAAAGGTCTGCCGCGGCCTGAGTGGCGCCTGGGAGCTGCAGGGGAGGGTTTGGGGAGTTTTGGCGAGTTTTGAAGGCTGGCAAACCAGCCTTGAACCTCCTTAAAAGGACACTGCCACGGCCTCAGGGACTTGTTGGAGGTGCAGGAAAGGTCTGCCGCGGCCTGAGTGGCGCCTGGGAGCTGCAGGGGAGGGTTTGGGGAGTTTTGAGGGCTGGCAAACGGCAGCCTTGAACGTCCATAAAAAGACGCTGCCACGGCCTCAGGGACTTGTTAGAGCTGCAGGAAAGGTCTGCCGCGGCCTGAGTGGCGCCTGGGAGCTGCAGGGGAGGGTTTGGGGAGTTAGGCGAGTTTCGAAGGCTGGCAAGAGGCAGCCTTGAACCTCCATAAAAGGACACTGCCACGGCCTCAGGGACTTGTTGGAGCTGCAGGAAAGGTCTGCCGCGGCCTGAGTGGCGCCTGGGAGCTGCAGGGGAGGGTTTGGGGAGTTTTGGCGAGTTTTGAAGGCTGGCGAACGGGAGCCTTGAACCTCCTTAAAAGGACACTGCCACGGCTTCAGGGACTTGTTGGAGCTGCAGGAAAGGTCTGCCGCGGCCTGAGTGGCGCCTGGGAGCTGCAGGGGAGGGTTTGGGGAGTTTTGGAGGCTGGCAAACGGCACCCTTGAACGTCGCCACGGCCTGGGACGTGTTGGAGCTGCAGGAAAGGTCTGCCGCGGCCTGAGTGGCGCCTGGGAGCTGCAGGGGAGGGTTTGGGGAGTTTTGAAGGCTGGCAAACGGCAGCCTTGAACGTCCATAAAAAGACACTGCCACGGCCTCAGGCACTTGTGAGAGCTGCAGGAAAGGTCTGCCGCGGCCTGAGTGGCGCCTGGGAGCTGCAGGGGAGAGTTTGGGTAGTTTTGGCGAGTTTTGAAGGCTGGCAAACGGCAGCCTTGAACCTCTTTACTGCCACGGCCTCAGGGACTTGTTGGAACTGCACAGGGTCTGCCGCGGCCTGTTGCCTTTTGGAACGCCGTAGAAACAGAGATTGCTGTGGCATGAGTGGCTCGTGGGAAGTGCACAGAAATTGCTGTGGCCTGAGTGGCTCCTGGGCGGTGAACAGAGGGTGCTATGGCCTGGGTGGCTCGTGGAAAGTGCAAAGCATTGGGAACGAAAAAAAGTTCCACACCTGCGGTGGTCCCAGGCGCCGCCCCTGCCTTGGCTAAGGCAGGGGTCGGCGGAAAAGGACACTGCCAGGGCCTCAGGGACTTGTTGGAGCTGCAGGAAAGGTCTGCCGCGGCCTGAGTGGCGCCTGGGAGCTGCAGGGGAGGGTTTGGCGAGTTTTGCGGGCTGGCAAACGGCAGCCTTGAACGTCCATAAAAAG